ACTAGGGTACCGTTGGCGCCAGTGGCTTAGGCGTTGGGAACGCGCTTCGTAATGCCGGGTTTAATCCCAGCTACGGGCTGTGCGGTTTTTTTTATAGTGGTATCTAGAAGCCGAAAGCAATGGCAAACTACTGGACATAAACTTGCCTAGAAAAACCACAACCGCCAAAAAATGATAGGGTTGGTTCTGCAACGTCCTGTAAGGATACGCAACTAACTTTAACCGTGGTACCACAGAACAACATGTAGTCCAGCGTGGGCAGACGTCCAAGAGATACCAGGGCTACCAAAGCTGGGTCCCCTCCCCCTCCCCCGATCTGGGTTTTATTTGACGCCTGGGGGAAATCTGGCTTTTAAAAAAAAACATCCTTATTTAAAAGTGGTAAATGTTTCGTTTCGTAAATAGACATTTGGTACATTTTAACAATCTGGGTTTTTTGTATTGTTCTTTGTCTATGTATTGCTTGGGTTTTTGTTCAGCTAAGCTGAGTTTTTCAAAAAAAAAAAAAAAAAAATCTTATTGGCAGCCCTGAGAGATACCCTGAGACACATTTTGATGAGAAAGACCAAAGAGGATGGACTGGATTCCATCAATGAAATCGAAAAGATTCTACAGAATAGAATGGACTGCATGAACAGACTGTGAACCCTATGTGGCACAGCATGATGATGTTCTTGTGATTACAGCAGAAATGTACCACTGGACTGACTACCTTAACTCTACTCGCTCTCCTTCGCCCGTCTTACCACTCCCACACACATTAAAAATTACTGTAATTACGCCACAGTGCAGCCCACAACCATTAAAACACGTCTATTTGACATAAACGAGTCTCTGCAAACTGCTTTCATGGTGAATAAAAATGTATTTTACGACAACCCCCAGTTGGGTGTGACATCTGTGCAGTATAAACACCTGACTTTACGACTATATCGAACACGTAGTGATAACAGCCGCTTTAATAGTGATATGTTGGTGACTGTCGGCTCTGTGGCTAAGTCGATGCGAACGCTTCGTAATGCCGGGTTCGATCCCAGCTGCGGGCCATGCGCCTTGCGTTGGTTTCGACAGTGGTATCAAGAAAGCCGACCGTCCAGTAAGCAATGGCAAACTACTGGAAGTAAATTTGCCTAGAAAACCCACACAACAGTCAGGGGCTGTTGGGGTTGGTTCTGCAACGTCCTGTAAAGGATACGCAACTAACCTATGTTGGTGACTGCTGTGAACAGGCGACGACGAAAGCGACGAGCCTTTCAGGAATGTGCCAGCAGACAGAGACAACTGTGTCTTATCAAAACAGCTTACATGTTGTCCAACAGGAATTTGAAAGCTTAGTCGTTTTTGGTGTGTCTGTGTCGGTGTTGGGCCTACGGTCCATGTAGCTGAATATAATCGGGTATTTCTGAATCAAGAATCTGCGTTCAAAACTCAAAGCTACCGATGCAATACAGCTAATGGGCGCAAAATAATAACATAATAGTGAGTGGTGGTGGTTGTGAGGGGGGCTGCTGCCCTTAGGAGAGCTAAATGGGTGACAATAAGTGACTAAATAAAAAAGGAAAGAAGACAGAGATGTTACAAATCGCCGACGCTTTGAAAAAAAAGGATACGAGAAACCAAATGGAGGCCAGGGGGAAAAGGCAAGAAAACCGCGGTCTGTTGAACTGAAAAGACTAGTTTATCGTTATCGAACTTCTGAACAGTAACCGAGTTATACCTAAAAGAGGAAACATCACAAACTTTGTTAGTAAGAAAGATACTAGGATCTCGTGTTAGATGAGAGAGAGAGAGAGAGAGAGAGAGAGAGAGAGAGAGAGAGAGAGAGAGAGAGAGAGAGAGAGAGAGAGAGAGAGAGAGAGAGAGAGAGAGAGAGAGAGAGAGAAGAGAGAGAGAGAGAGAGAGAGAGAGAGAGAGAGAGTTTATAAACATTCGATCACAGCCAGTTAGAAGTATATGTAAACAACGAGTTCTGTTGAAGAGTCTCTTGGCATCACTCTTTAAATAAAATCACGTTGGTCCTTGAATAGCCATTGTGTTTTCATCACAAACAATTTTAACCATTATATCACCTGTAGAATCACTGGCATCATGTGTATAACACAACAGCCATACTACGACTATCTCATCGCCTTTGCCTCTTGCGGCATGTTTGAAGGAACATGCAGGGTATGAAGGCTGATAATGGCGCTAGAGTATATTTAAGAGAAACAGATGAGATGATTTATCCAACTGAGGGGGAGAGGGGATGGGGGGGGGGGGGGGGGGGGGGCTGACCTGACATTATTATTTGCTAAGTACCCCCGTCCACCAAATAATCTGAGGACTAGAGTGTCAGGGTGCCTGAACCACTGATAAAGAACAAGGCCCCTTTCAGCAGCACATTTCTACAGACAAATAACATGGGTGATAAGATCAATATCACTTCAGCCCCCTTACTTATCACACATTATGGTGGGAGCTGCAGCAGCAGTGGCTATATGTTTGCCTGCCAACCTGAAGGTCGTGGGTTCAAATCTACCCTGTGGCACTTTATTTCCGCAATGACCCAGTTTAAAATGGGCACGGCTAATGCTCTGGAAGTAAAGGCGGCTGGCGGGATGTCGATTACCTTGCCTTCTGTGTGCTGACTGCTATACAAAAATGAATCAAGCAATATATACCTGATGCATCACCTGCGTAAAAGGGCTCATATATTCTTTAAAACATATGATACCAACCTATGGCCTAAACGGCTTGCAAGCTCAGGAAAATTTGCCGAAGAAAAAAAAACAACAACATTTGGATGAGGATTTTCAACAGATGACTGTCACATCAGCAGGCAAGCATGCTAGTCACTGAACCAACCAGCTCCCACTACTACTTCTGCATCTGCTCTGAGAAGGTTGGTTGGCACAATGAGTTGTAGATTACAGCTAGGCTAAATATCTGTAATTTTCTGCCTAACATATCCAATTTGAGCAACCTCTTAGATAGACCACTTTGACCATATACTTGTTAGGGGAAGGAGCAAAGGGTCTACCACTTTTTTCCCCAAATGCCCCCCCCCCCCCCCACAGGGGGAAGGCTCCCTCTTGAATATGTACGATTGCTAAATATTTGTAACCAGTTTCTATCTATCTATATCCTCTTCATGTCGCTGTTGACACATAAGGCATTCGTGCGACTCGCTAGTGTAGTTTTTAAAGCTGACTTTGTGGCGATCGGGTGATGAACTCCTTGTGGTCTGGGTTCATGCCCGGGGATAGGCAGAAAAGCCCCATTTCTCCCAGATTTACAGTACCTATCATGGAATCAAGGCCGAAGGGTTGCGATATCCAAAGTAATGATCCAAAGGGTTAAAAATTTATGGTTTCTGGATACTTAAAAAAAACACACACACATAAGGCATTCACAAGTGATTTCCATTGATGCCGGTCTGCTGCTTTTCTGCCCATGGTATCCCATGTCAGTCTACATTCCTTCATTTCCCTTTCTATTGTCCTTCTCCAGGTTTCCTTAGGTCGTCCACGTCTCCTTTTCCCATCTACTGTCCACCGGAGAGCTGTTTTTGCCAGTGTCACAAGGCATTCCGCAAACATGTCCAAGCCATCTCCATCGTCTTATTTGATAACATTTGCCAGTGATGCACATTCTATTTTCCTCCTCAGTTTTTCATCTGCGATTTTGTTTGGCCAAAATATTCGTAATAACCAGTTTGGGTAAAAATAAATTATCTTACCAAATGTCACACTAATGTCTGGTTCAAGCAAATCAATATCTTCTCGATGACATATTAAGACAGAAACCAACAACAGTGAATGCTTTCAATTATAGAAATCAAAGAGCCAGCTGGGGGCCATATTTCCATATCAACAGCATGAGAATATTACTAACGGGAATTAGGAGATATAGCCACCAATCAGATACCATAAACACTCACAATTCTACTAACCCATGTGAAAAAATAAAAAAACAGGCCATCAATCAGACACTAAAAGTTAAAAAGTAGCTGCTAAGTTCTGAAAGATCCACTTACCCAAATGTTAAAATAATCATAATTAAAAAAAAAATGTTTAAAGAATCAGTTACTTGCTAAACATTAAGTTTTACTAAGCTATTTGTCAAAATGTCGGCTCTGTGGCTAAGTCGATGCGAACGCTTCGTAAAGCCGGGTACTGAGTTTGATCCCAGCTGTGGGCCATGCGCCTTGCGTTGGTTTCGACAGTGGTATCAGGGGGCCGACCGCCCAGAAAGCAATGACAAACTACTGGACGTAAATTTGCCTAGAGAAACCACACAACAGCCAGGGGCTGCTGGGGTTGGTTCTGCTACATCTTGTAAAGGATACGCAACTAACCTATTTGTCAAAATAAAAATAATTAAAAAACAACTTTAAAGAGGGCAGTGTTTGTTTTTATATGATCTATTTGAACTCTTTTAGTTGTATGAAGAGACTAATTGTTTTGGGAAGTCGTTTTTCTTTACCAAATAATGTTGCTCTGCTATGATGTTTCAAAAGTTTCTCTGAAACAAGATCAAATGTACAAATTGTGTTTGTACTTTATTTGTACATATTCCTCTTCAGATATGATTCAGCTGATCATATTTCTCTTGAGTAATATGACGTTCAGTGGATAAAATATTATTTCCTTTTACTAATTTCTCTAAAAAAATTTCTGTTTATTTACTAATATTTATTAAAACCATTATTTGATGTAACAGTACTCTGTTATTCCTCAACAATCCCTTGTCATTTTGATATACAATAGGTGTATGTAATGTGGCAACTGGATTGTGTTACATTTATAGAATTTCAAAATAGCATTACCACCCCATGGCCCTCTGTGGCTTAACCTCCTAGGACTGAAAAAAGGGGAAAAGGAAAAAAAAAAAAAGGGGGGGGGGGGGGGGGCAAACCTTACTGCAAATCTGAACCTGGGTCTCCCACAGAAGAACCCAGCATTCTCAACTATTTAGTTAGCCGCTCCTCTCACACACAAAAGATTTGAAACTATACTCACCCATACTAGCATTGACCAGGTTGTCAATCACCACCACATTGTAGTTAGCACTGAGCAGCTCCACCACTGTGTGACTGCCAATGTATCCGGCGCCACCAGTCACCAAGACATACTCATCTGCCATAGCTGAAGTGTGTACTGCTAAACGAAACAAACACAGACAGTTAGATTCTACTGAAGACAGCAGTCATGTCAACTGGTATAGCCGGCATCATACACTACCCATTATTTTGTTACTTTGGCAAATGTAAATGTGTTTAAAAAAAAAAAAAGGGGGGGGGGGCATAATTGTAATTTTAAACTGCACACCATGGCAGTTACTTGCATTTCTACATAACTAAATTCAGCATGTGATAAGTAAAGTAAAAGGGCAGGACTTTGTACGCCACTGGCACATCAGGCATGCCTTACTGCAGGGCTATTCAACTAGCCCAGTAAGTGGCCCTTGGATTACTGCATGTTGTACTGTATTAAGGATCTTTCTTCTCCGTCTTCTTTGTTCATCCGAAGATGTAACTATGTTGTGTCCGTTTACACATCGGCCAACGCATCCAACTTCTGTGGGCATTTTTTGGAACGGGTTAGCCTTCCCCGGGATCTTTCTACTCTGGTGCTCCGGCTTCTGGCCCGTGAACATTCCCACTTGCAAAATTGTGGCCCCTGAGTCAACTTAGTTCAATAGCGCTGCCTTAATGTCATATTTGAATAGACCAAATGGCACACTGGGTAATGTGGCCAGCACCCACACTACTGCCTTTACTACCATTACCTGGTTCAAATTTTATGCTAAGTCGATCTGAGAGCTAGTGTTTCTATTTTTTAATTGGAATTGGAGTGCAACCTTCCAATTTTCCCAACAGTCTATAGGATGCCTCGCAGCATGTACACATTTTGATTCAATAGAAACACAAGCTGGCCCTTGTTAACAAATTTGTATGTTGTTTAATCCATTTTCCATTTTGTGTTTTAAGCGCAAACACTTTTCCTAACATTCTATACTTTGGCTAGGACTTTTCTGTCCCAGTGTCATACTGTGCCAGGGCCTGAGTTAGACTTGATGGGGTCTAAGCTATCCCTCTTGTTGGCCTTCTCTTCCCAGCTGGTGACACCAAGTGTTTGCAGGTTTGTCTGCATATTAACTCTCCATCGTCTTCTTGGTCTGCCTCGAGGTCTACGACCATTCAGCGTACAGTTTTTATCTTTTCCTAATCAGGATAATTTCCATACAAATTGTTATTTATCTTTAAACAAAATAAAACACCCGAAGATGGTATACAATCAATAGTGAAGGCAAGTATTACTAGAAAAATACACTGGCATTAAAAAAAAAGGCTTCCACGATCAAAGTATTGTATTTCAGAACCAGTGTTGTCATCACATGTTTTTAACATAGCTTTTCTCAGATGATCAACTCTCAACCTATCAACATGCTACTGGTGTCATCAAAAATCTATCTGCATTGTGAGTAATTGGAAACTCATGTTTTTATTCCTTCTTCTCTGTTCTGGCTGAATGGCATTGTAATCATATTTGGCCACAGCCTTCTGTACTGCCAGTCATTTCTTATGCATGCTCTTATGTGTCATTTTTACGCCCACTTTCCCTGTTATTTTATTACTTTGACAGCTATTGTAATTGAGTTTATTTTAAGGAAGGGCGTAGTTTTAACTACATGTCAGATATCACAGGGCGTAACTACTTTTATTATAAAACGCAACTGAGCAGACGTGGAGTGCAACCACTTAATTTCCATAACATTATACAGTGCCCAAAAAACAAAATACGAATATGCATGCTGTCAATCTTTTCAGGATACAGGTGCATTACATACCACAACTAATGTATTTACCAATATTAATAAAGCGCGTGGGGTGGGGGTGGTGTTTTGAGCCTGAGGACCTAATTCAGGCTGCATGGCTAGTGCGGTGGCCACTGAGAGAACTCCACTACCATGCGAAGGATTTAACTCCGTGCCTCTCGCATGTGAGCCCATAATCTAGCTGTTTGGTCAGCCACTAACTAGTCAAGGACAACAGGTGTACAATATTATTGTTGTTTAAAGATTGTCCTGGGAATGAAATGCCAACACTGAACAGCAGGGTAGCACTCAGTGCAGCCCTTACAGGTGCCCTAATTATAACCTACAAACATGGAGGCAGTCCTCCCCAAGGCAGATAAAAACCGCACTGATAGGAAAAATTAGACGTAGATACAATTCAAAGGGCCCTTTTCCACGCCTCCAGGCATATGCAGCATATAGGGCTAGACTAGGGGTCGCAAACTCCTTAGCCTAAAGCGCCCAAAAACAGCAGCAGGACGAGTAAAATTTTTATACAGCTAAATCTCTTTTCAGGAACCTGTCAAAAAACGTTTTTTTAAAGTCGAAACCGATTTATGGCTTACTGGCTGAGCCATACTCAGGTCACTATAGAGCCGCATGTGGCTCGCAAGCCACGATCTGCTGACCACTGGGCTAGACCTATATTTTATAGACCAAACTGGCACTTTGTGGGCGATATGGTCATCATCATGACGATTACCTTTCCTTCCCAGGCCTGCACCTCGCACCCACACAAGGCTAGGTTAACTTGGAAGCCAGGGTAATTTTTGAAAGAAAAAAAGGTCAGGCTCCAAACCCACAACCTTCCGATTCAGAGGTGTCTAGCTGCTACACCACAGCGACTACCAGATACTCTGCACTTTTTTGGATATGCTAAGAGAAATATTTGGCTACAACTGGCAGGACATGCCCTCCAAGTTGTAGGTTGAAGTGTGGGCCCGACACCCCCACCTTCGTACAACTTCGTCTCCTCACGAAACAAATCTAAGCCTGGATTTCAGATGGTATGCCCTTCAACATCTGCCAAAGTCAAAGTGTCTGTCTCACAACACCAAGATCAAAATATATAAACCGTTGAAAGTACAAGCCATTGTATTTGGCTCTGAAACTTGGAGCACAGCCAATAGAGATGAATCCGTATTACAGATTTTTTTAAACGGAGTCTTACAACAATTCTTTGGACCCATGAAAGATGCAGACAGCGGGTAACTGAAAGTAAGAAGCAACAACGAAATTCATAATCTGATTAAATCACATTGATCACTTGCATCATGACATCTAAAAGACTGAAAAGGCTGGGGCAGACTGAAAGAATGTCAGATGACAGAGAAGTAAAAATTGTACACACAAGGGAGATGAAAGGTCGTAGAACACGAAAAACGAAAAAAATCAGTCATCATGCGGATGCGAACTTACGACTTTCAGGTCTCAGGTGAGAGTCTAGCAGCTAAGCGATGGCGGCTCCTGGCAATGACAAAAGGTCAAGAATAAATCTAACAACTGGCCCGATAAGTGATCCATTTGCCCAGACAGTTTAACCACAGCCAGCTTAAGTTAATCATGGACTAACTCGATCTCTGTAATATTGCAGTTGCCGGGCTCTGAACTAGGTAGTCCAGTACACTCAGAGACATAACACATAGATAATTTAAGTTGATTAAGGGGGGAATAAGTCAAAGTGCAATCCTCTGCAAGTTTCTACATTACAGAGGCCTACAAGAATTGATCTCATGAGAGTTCGCAAGAAGAATGAAGTGAAAGATTAATCTACGCAAACTGGTACAAATGTAACTGTCAATATAATAACTAGCGCTGATCAAGAGAGGAGCGACTGCCCGAATGGTTAGCACGCTGGGCTCTCCACTGGTTCGAATCCTCGGTAAGGCTGGGGATTTTTATTCTGTCGGGGGGAGGGGGGGCTGCACAGTCGTGGCGACAGCACGAGCCATGCGGCTGTAAATCCTCAGACTCACCTCCCCACAAGTAGTATAACAAGGGCAGTAACTGGCACCTAATCAAGAGGAATCTGGAAGATGTGTGTACTGGTCATACACTTTACTAAAGAATAACAGATGAGATAGTCAGGCCATCTGATGAGAATTGCCTGGTACTAACAAGCACAGATAGATATGCTGGAGTAATACAATGGACGCAGATCAAGAGGAAGATCACACAGACAACAAAACGATGATATCAAGAACAGACTTACAAGAAATTAAGATCAACTTACAGAACGAATTGTAAAGAGCACCTAAAAGATTCTTACCTCCCTCTCCCATTTTCTTCCCTTCGAAGTAACTGGAGGACATGAATGGGAAGAAGAACCAGTTTTAGGAGAAATACAGAGACAGAGAGGGAGATGGGGGGGGGGGGGGGGGGGGGGGAGTGTGAGAGAGAGAGAAAGAGAAGGAGAGAGGGAGAAATATGCTCTCCTGACATAATTGAAGGTTACAACATCGCTACTGTTTGTTTCCTTTAAGGATGATTTGCGAAGAAATAGTTGGAAGCGGGGAAAATGTGGCTTTACAGACGAACGACAAAAATATCCTTGATAGGTAGAAACAACAATAAAGAACAATAAAGATGTAGCTAAATAAAAAAAGTTAAATGCATATCTTTTACAGAACGTTGCATAACCACCCCCATGCATTTGTGTGTGTGTGTAGTTGCTGTGGCTTTTCTAGATACATTTACGTTCAGCAGTTTGTCACTGCTTAGTAAACGGTCGGCTCTCGAAACCAATGCAAGACGGTCTGCTGGCAAATCGCCTGCAGCTGGGATCGAACCCAGCATTACCAAACACGTTCGCAACGTCTAAGTCTTAAAAAAAAAACTTATTAACATAGAGAACTGATTGTCTACAACATAAAAAGACAATCAACATTCTCTGGTCATGTCATGAGGAGGAGAAAACTGGAGAAACGATGCTGGACAGTTTGACATCATGTCATGAGGAGGAGAAAACTGGAGAAACGATGCTGGACAGTTTGACATCATGTCATGAGGAGGAGAAAACTGGACAAACGATGCTGGACAGTTTGACATCATGTCATGAGGAGGAGAAAACTGGAGAAACGATGCTGGACAGTTTGACATCATGTCATGAAAAGGAGAAAACTGGAGAAACGATGCTGGACAGTTTGACATCATGTCATGAGGAGGAGAAAACTGGAGAAACGATGCTGGACGGTTGGACATCATGGCATGAGGAGGAGAAAACTGGAGAAACGATGCTGGACAGTTTGACATCATGTCATGAAAAGGAGAAAACTGGAGAAACGATG